AAAGCAATTAAAATATTGATGATCGATCATGGTCATATTACTCTACAATGACGTATAAGTTTATCGAGTAACGATAGTCATTTTAACGTAATCCACAGGGATCTTTGTATCCACAACAATTACAAGAACCTTTGCTGTATTGAGCATCTGGCAAGTATAAAGATGTTACTTGTCCATTGATAAATGAATTAGCAATTGATTGACAATGTGTTTGGCATTGTTCCAATGTTCCTTGATATCCAGATGAAAAACTATCGCAACCCATGCACGAACATTCACGCACCGGAAATGGAACTAGAGCTGATGAATCAGCTCTTTTCGCTTTATAATTCATTGCCTGTTGATAATCGCTCATCTTCATGATTTGTTCCGGAATTCTTATCGATTGTCTTTTGCGACGTGCTTCACAGTAACTACAGCCACCAGAACTAAATTGACCAGCCGGAAACCAAGAACATGTTGTTGCTTTAAAACCGTTTCGAACTGCTTGATTGCATTCACAATAACATTGTTCAATTGTTCCTTGATAACCATTTGGTGCCGATCCTCTACATATCCCTTGAACGTCACAAATTAGAACCATGATCACAATAGCATTCACATAGAACTTGGTTGAAAACATACTTATGCAAAGTAAATTGAGAGTACTGTATTTAACAGATGCTTTTCTCTCATCGACTAATACATTAATATACGATTCCATAGTTATATATAATGAGATAGTTTCGCTTCATCTATGAAATTCAAGTATTCACTTTGTTTTTTATGCAAAACACAAACCATCGAATGAGAAAAAACTGCCGAATATTACACTCTGCTTAATATGCAAAAAAAATCGATGACGTCTCTGTTTTTGCTTCTTTTAACTACAGTATTTGAAGGTGAAAATAATGAGAGAATAAGATCGAAAAGTGAGATCTCAGCATTCAGAAGTACGAATGAAGCGCAAATAAAATGCGCTTAGATACGCTACTTCAATCATACGTTGGACAGTCAACGTCTCACATTTAGCCCTTGTACACGGGTGTAGGTGTGGGTGTGGGTGTGGGGTGTGGGCGAGATGCGGGTGTAGCTTTAATCTTCATCAACACCCCACCCACACCCATGTATTTTTCTTAAAAGAACCTCATAAAAAATAAAACCGACATAAACTACTATTTTTTTCTTGCCTATTTTTTCATATAAAAAACAATAAAAACATCCATTTATATGTACACTAATTCTACAGATTAGTTTCTATAACTATCAAACACAACAGGCCAAATACTCGCATTATACAAATGGATCATGCACAAAGCATAACTTCTTTCAATCAGTCAATTCCATCATCTTACAAACAATTCCATCATACAAAAAATCACATCAGCTGAAAAACATTCTAACTCTTCACTGAATAGATATCCCGTTATTCACTTAATTCAATCATCAATCCGTAAAATGTGAACTTTGCCAACATATTGGAACAGAACCTTTTTAACTATTTCACTTTCATATCAACACATGCACTCAACAGAATGATACTAACAAAAACATCTAAATCACAAACCAATTCTTTATTTCATCCGAAAACCGTTTCAATTGAACATCCAACAAACTCTGGCATTAAAACAATAACCTAACATCCATTCAAAAACAGCATAATTGCCCAGGTTAGTTAATTTCATTTTCTTTTTTTCTATTGAGTTTCCCCAATGGTCATTCAATATCTTCCGATGGTCATCGACTATAAATAATCAGCTGCCGTCTTTTTCATACTTCTTCATTTTGTGATCTTCACTTTTATTGAGTATCTATTGTGGCTAAGAATATAAAACATTTTCATTAACTCTTTTTTGTTGTTAGCCATTTAGTCATTCTGATCATAGTTGAGTGTCTATTGTCTGAAGAAGAATTGATATTTTCATTTCACTCCTTTTCCTTTTTTTCTCAGTTTCATTTTCTGATCTTCCTTCACTGTCTGTTCTCAGAAGAAGAGTTGAATATTTTCCTTTCCTTCTTTTTCCTCATTTTTCAGTTAGCTATTCTGATCATACTTGAGTCTCTACTGTAAGGAACAATATGAAATATTTTCATTACCCTCTTTATCGTTTATTCTCAGTTTGACATTCTCATTTTTATTGAGTTTGTTCTGAGAAAGAGAATCATATTTTATCGTTTAACCCTTTCTTCTTTTTCTTCTGTTAGTTATTCTGATCATAACAGAGTATCTTTCATGACAAAAAAAAGAAATATTTTCTTAAGTCTTTTCCCCTCTTCTTCAGTTTTTTATTCTGATCCTAATTCAGTATTCATTGTGAGAAAAAAGCAGATATTTTCGTTTGAATTTTCTTTCCTCTTACTCAGTTAGATATTCTGATCTTTATCGACTATCTTGCACGATGAAAACAATCAATATTTTTCTTTAAGTACTGCTTCTTCTTTTGAGTTCGTTAGTCTGATCTTCTTCGAATATTTTGCGTGAGAAAGAGAATCAAATATATTCATTTAGGCCTTTTTCCTTCTTCTGAATTAAACATTGTGATCATAATTCAGAATGTTTCGTGACAAAAAAAGGATAAAATGTTTTCGTTTAATTCATTTTCCTTCTTCTTTAGTTTCTACTGCTAATCATAACTGACTATCTGCTGTGAGAAAAAGAGTCAAGTATATTCGTTGAAATGTCTTTCCCTTTTCTTTCATTACTTATTCTGATGTTTATTGAGCATGTTTCGTGAAAAAGAGAACCAAATGTTTTTGTTTAAATGTTTTTCCTTCTTCTTTAGTTACTGATTCTGATCATAATTGACTATCTATTATCATAGCGAGTATTACATATTTTCTTTTAACTCTTTTTCATCTTTCTCACAATATATACTCAGTTATGGTCACTATAAGTAGCTAAAGAAGAAGTAAAAAGACTTAAACAAACATATTCCATTGCCTTCTTCACAAAAGATACTCAAGGAAAATCAGACTAACGACCTGAAATAAAAACGAAAAGATGCAAACGAAAATATTGGGTTCTCNTTGTGTAGGTTTTGGAACTAATAAACTTCAGTAGCTTTATCCTCTCATCAACTACATCCGAAATGGATGAAATCTATATGTGGAATATCAAATTAAAATACTCACGAATGTGAGAAAATGGATCACGTAGTTTGTCATAATCTAAAAAAAGTAATGGGTGAAGTAAATCGAATAATACAATTGTTTCAAGAACGAACTTCTAACGAACTACCGGTTTCATCATCAGTTAATCGAGTACATGAAGAACTTGCCAGTCAATGATTCGACGTATTTCAATCAATATTGACAAGTACTTCGTACGATTAGGAGGGAAGGACGAAAAGACTCCGAATTACAATACATCAGACGATGAAACAGATCAATCCGAGGAGAATTTTGATGCATCTTCTAATATTTCAAATTATGAAAAAAAAAAGACAATGAGACACCGGTGTTCGAATCATTTTCTTTGTCATACATGAAATGAGCGCTTTATTACTATGATGCAATTAATCCTAAAACTGGAAAACGATCAGACACGTGGAACAGTATACAACACAAATTTCAAAGAATTTCCCATTAGTCATATATGGCACATTTTCGAGACTATATTGAACGAGGATGGACAAAAAAAAAGAAAAGATTGATTCATTAAATAATTATGTTTTTAATAACTTTGAGCAGGCTTGAAATCTTTTGTATCCAGTTCATGAAATAGACTTGAAACGATGGACTACACGAAAAGCTAGAACAATGTCGTTGCATGATTTTATAGCTTCAGATCACTGAGTCTCAAAGTTTAAGAACAACTGCAATATTTATTCAAGAAAAATTATAAGGGTTAGGACATGTTTCATAGCAACCATACAGATGATTCAAATTATATATCAGTGTATAAGTACCATTTACTTTTTTTAGGTAGTTAAAAAACGTAAATTGATCAATGAAACTGAAATTAAAAGATCAGCTGAACAATTTGTGACACAAGTTAAATTATTATTGCCTCATTACAATGAAGATTACATTTGGAATGTTGATCATTCAGGACTTCAACTCGAGCTTTGTCTTATCGGTGGGAAAAGACAACACTGGCTACCGTATGTTTCATAAATGCAACTACTCATAGCTACACTGCTCAACCAACAATAAGTATGAGCTGGAAGATTGTCAGTGAATATATCTATGTCTCCAAGAGTTAAATGGTCGAGTGAGCGAGAACATTAAGTCAAATCTTCCACAGATGCAAAAGGTTGCTGTTACATGCAGTGCATCTGTTAAATTAACCACGTCACTAGTCGAATATTGACGTGATAATTGTCTCATTCCTTCGTTGTCTTCACAAAAAAACATTACTTCTTTTCGATAGTTGGTCTGGACAAGCAAGTGGGAATGGTATTTATGAGTCAGTAAAAGGATTGAAGCAGCTTAAAATTCCATGGAAATCCACTTCGAAAATTTAACCTGTTAATGTGTTTTTTTTATCAAGCAATAGAAAGTAATTGTGCGCAAGGTTTACGAAAGGGTTTTTCTCGGTGAAATACATATTCAACTCACGCAGAGGAGCAATATCACCCATTTACAATATCTTGTTCATAATCAGCTTTCATCTTCAGTCTTCACTCCTATGATACGCTACGGATGGTTCAACAGTGGCAATACTAATGTTTATCCTCGTCCTTTTCAGACGGTGACACAATTATGTTTTAAAATTAACGAAGATTACAGCGACATGCCTTCCTGCGATCAATTTCCGTTGATTCGATGTAGCTATTGCACAAAAGCATTATGTTTGCAAGACTTTTTTCTTAAGTATCATGCTCATGGTATCTGACTTATGAAGCATGTATCATTTTTTAATGATGTTATTTTCACTTTTGTTTTCCCTTTAATATCAATGCATATATAAAAGCAGATAAAAGCCAAGGCCATTTATAGAAGTACATTTTTAGCTCTAGTGAGAAAAAGAGGGGAACAATATTACATCTTCTTAACGGATAGTAAATTCAAACAAAACTTGCATTATCTATAGCTACACCTTTCGGTTGAATTTCATAATTATAATAAAATTTAGAATTTTTTTTTGTTCAAAACATGTTCAAATTGTAAAAGGGCAAGGAATTGGTTGAGCTGATTAGAAAATTATTGTCATAAAACAAACTATACTCGGTTAAATTTCATTATCATATGCTTGCATTAAAATTTGTTGTAGTTAGAATGAATAAAATGATCAAAAGCAAATCTTCAAAATTAACATCAAATTCAACAAGCTTTTCAGTCGAAAATATAGCAATCTTTGAACAATATACCATTTATCAAGACTGACGTTTGTTGTGGTTTCCATATTGTTCAATTCCTATCCTAAAAGATTTTTTTCTAAAAATATTTGTATTTGAAAATTGACTAAAGTGAATTATAGAAAAGATACTAACAAATCCAAATTTTTGTTTTCGATCTCTATTCTTTCCCAGCTTATTACACTTTCTTTTTTACTTTATTTCTTTCTTTGTTCTTAGCTTACTTAGATTTAGACTTAGTTCCTCCTGTGCGACTCGGCACATTGGGTAACAAGTGTTTTCCAACGTTCTCGATTTGAAGCGACGTTCTCGGCTTCTTCCCATTTGGTGCCAATATTCTGTAGATCTACTTTGAATATTGCGCGCCATGTCTTAACAGATCTTCCTTTCTTTCGTTTACCCTCTGAAGGCGTCCATTGTATCGCAGTTTTAGAATATCGTTGTTCCGGTAAGCGTAGTATGTGTCCAGCAAATCGCATTCTGCGCTCTGTTACTATGTTTTGTAGTCTTCGCGAACCACCTCGTCGAAGGACCTCATCATTGGTAATATGGTCATGGTAAGTGATCCCAAGGATTCTGCGTAGGCATCGCTGGTGAAATACATTCAATTTTCGTGCTACCCGTGTCGTGATTTTCCATGTTTCGCTCGCGTAGATTGCAGTAGGGAGGACAATCGTGTTATAAAGCCGAATCTTTGTTTTGACACCAATTGTTGTTGTTGATCAAACTTGGCGTAGTCGTTGAAACACAGATGACTCTGCCAATTCTGCAGTTTACATCTACTTCAGTATCGCCATCATGGGATAGTATGCTACCAAGGTATGTGAATTGTTTCACTTCTTCGATGGGTTTACATCTGATCGTTATTTGCGTTCGTGTCTCGACGTTGCCGACCTGCATGATCTTGGTTTTTTCACTATTGATCCTTAGTCCAACGTTGCTGGCTGCTATTTCTAACTTAATGGTCATTTCTTGTAGGCTTTCTTTTGTGTTTGTCAATAGTGCGATGTCGTCAGCAAAGTCCAAATCTGTAAGACGGGATTTATTTTTCCATTGAATACCGAGATCCGGACCGTTCATTGCTTCCAGCATGACAAAGTCAATTACCAAAAGGAACAGAAATGGTGACAGGACACAGCCTTGTCGTACACCGGTGACAATATCAAAGAATTCGGTATTGCCAGTATCTGTCTTCACACAGCAGCTGGAGTTCTGATAGATGTTGCGAAAGATGTTAATGAAATGTTCGGGAATTTCGTATGTTCTGGCAATGTTCCACAGCGATTCTCTGTAAATACTATAGAATGCTTTTTTAAAATCGATGAAGTTAATTAATAGTGGCCGTTGAAATTCTATACTTTGTTCAATGATGTTGCGGATGGTGAAGATTTGTTCATTGCATGACCGACCATTACGAAATCCGGCTTCTTCTTCTCGTAGAGTTTTATTTACTGCGTCTTTTATTCGATTGAGTAGCACAATGCAAAATATTTTGTCGGGAATTGAGAGAAGCGTGATGCCCCTCCAATTGTTACATTCGGTGGCATTGCCCTTTTTTGGTATCTTGGTCATCATGCCTTTCTTCCATTCATCGGGAACATTTGTAGTTTGCCAGCACATGTTCAACAGTTTTGTTATTTCTTGTACCATTTTGATTCCTCCATGCTTCACCAGTTCTGCTGAGATCTGGTCGAGTCCGGCGGCTTTGCTGTTCTTCAGCAGCTTTATCGCTTTCCTGATTGCTGCTTCTGTAATCATATCAAGGTTTGCTCTATTTCATCGATAGTGGTGGACGCACTGAAGTCGAAGGTTGTAGTTGGATTTGGCTGGTTCAGTGTTTCTTTGAAGTATTCAATCCAGCGTGCATCTTGTTCTTCTTTCGTTAGCAGAATTTTGCCATTCTTGTCTTTGATTGGAGTGTTTGAGTTGCTTCTTGATCCTGTCAATTCTCTGACAATTCGATATAAGGTTTTTGCATCATTTCTGTTTGCCGCTTCCTGTGCTTCATCTCCTTTTTGTTTTAGCCATTCTTTTTTGTCGGATCTGCAGTTTCGTTTTACTTGACGATCCAACGATTTGTACTTCGCTGCAGCTTCTCGTTGTTCGTCTGGTGTTTTTGTCTGGTCTCGCTGGATTTTGGCCGTCTTCCGTTCGTCAATCAGTTGCCAGGTACTGTTCCGCATCCATCGTTCTTTCTGCGTTCCTCTTCTTCGACCGATCGTCTCTTCTGCACTTTCGATCACTGCTTGCTTGAATTGCGTCCAGTGTTCGTCAACGTCGGTGGTGTATTGTAGTTGTTCGAATCTATTTTGGATCGTTATTTGGTATTGTTCGACAGTGCCAGGATTTTTCAGTTTCTCGATCGCATATGGTCGAACTGTTGGTCGTTCTTGTTTTCTTTTTAATCGAAGCCTTAGTGAGGCTCTCACGAGATGATGATCTGATCCCACATCAGCTCCTCTGTATGCTCGTACATCCTGTATTGCCGAGCGCCATCGTCTGCTGATGCATACATAATCAATTTCATTGTTGGTGTACCCATCCGGAGATCGCCATATTTTCTTATGAATGTTTTTTTGTGCGAAGTATGTATTTCCAATACATAAGTTGCTCATACTGCAGAACAGGACAAGTCTTTCTCCATTATCGTTTGTTCTGCGTGCTGTTGCATGTGGACCAATCACATGTTCTATGCCGTGTCTACTGTTACTCATTTGTGCGTTCATGTCGCCGATGAGTAGTTTGATATGGGGTGGGTGTGGGTGTGGGTGTTAAAAACAGAAATATATCTGCACTGACACCGCCCACCCATACCAAGCAAATAAATCTAGTACGTTTAAAAATGGCTGAAGTCATATGTCAACAAGAAACTAATCAAAGTCAATTGGATTCCTTAGATGTACGATACAACATGATTCTATCTCTTTTTTATGGATGTGGGTGTAGGTGTTATTCTTTTGTTTAATATCGCCCATACCGATATCCACACCCACACTCTATTCGAAAGAATACGATGATAAACAGTAATTCTACTTATGTGATCCTAATACCATCATTGATAGTGTCGAAGAAAAGTTGATCAAAAGAGTTAATCTAACACAATCTCAAATATACAAACACTCAGCTGAGCAGAAATATGAAGAGAAAAATTCACAAACAAATATTTGTTCGAAGAACACAACATTCTTGATCTTCAAGTTGTTTTAACTTGCTTTGGTGTTGTGCAATGATTTTCGTAAACAATGGTTCACGTGGGAAAGAACGAATGAATTTCATCATTATATAACATATCGATGAGTTTTTTCTTCTTGCAAAATATTACGACAATATTCTTCGATCGAATAACTATAAAGGTAGTTACAATTATGTCTGACTTTACTTGCTGTCAAAAATAAGTATGACAACAAGGCCTGATCTGCGCAAGTATGATCAACGTCTACAAGAAGAAAAACATGTCGTTCAAGCAAAAGAAAACAATCAATCTCGTCGGTCATATTTACATTCAGGTATAATCAACTATGCCACTTCAGACAAAACTGAGGACTTTTTTTAAAAAATTCATCTAAGACATCACACTTTTCTGTTCGACAATTTTTCAAGATATATAGCTGTTCTGAGATTTTTGGTCATTCTCAACAACGAACAGTAGCGGAAAAAGTTTCTCGATCGATTGATGTCCTCTCTATCAGATTTCCGATAGTCAAGCTGAAGAAGATACAAAATCGTTTATTTTCAAATTTGTTTAGGTACAATAGAAAGAACTCGATCAGCAGTTCGATCGCGAAGAAAAAATCAATTGACTGACTTCTATTATAATCTGGGGAAAGAACAGTTGTGTGAAGCTTGGGGGGCGGAGGAATCACAGACCAGAAACTATATTGATTCATAATGGCATCATATACGTGAAGCTATCAAACATGATAATGTTAATATTCTGGATTATCTTCTACCACCAATCAATTTGTACAATAGTAAAGAAAAATATTGGTCAAACTATTTTTATCGGATAGAATACCGGAACAGGAACAATATTCTCATGTATGCCATCAATCTTCAACGTTCAAATTGCATTGAAGTGATATTAGATAAAATCCATAGTGGAGATCTCGATCCGAGTATCGTGCATTATAATGAATGGCGAATAATCGTCGTACTCCAATCTTTATTGCATGCGAAAGAGGAGATTTGAGCCTTGTTCAAGCACTAGTCGAACGTGGCCGTGCAAATACTAATAGCTCTGCTGCCTTGCTAATCGCTATTGATCAAGGTTATGATGAAATTGTTGATTATTTAATACGTCGATGTAATGTTCATGAAATGGGTTACTTCGAACAACTGACAGTTGACAACGCCATTGCCGGAGTTCTTATGCGTGCCATCGATCTTGGACAGTCAGATCGCATTCAAATGATACTGGACAAAATCTCTAGAGGACATCTCCATTCGACTATAGTGCATTCAAATAACTGGAGTAATCCTCCTTCTCTACTCACTCTTGCATGTGCAAGAGAAGATTTGAATCTTGTCCGATTGTTAGTCGAACGATGCAATGTTTGACACATAGATCATCAAAATCGAACGATTTTTGATGACGTCATTAGCAGAGGGCAGATTGAAGTTGCTAAAATTTTCATCTACGATGGACAACTGAAAAGAAATATCGACGGATTCTCTCCTATGATGTTAGCAGCTCATCACGATTTGAAGCCACTTGTCGACTTGCTTTTTGAAAGGTTGCCACTCCAAGAAGCTGTTGATGAGTTGGTACTACTCGCTTGTCAATATATCATTGATGGCAACAACCAAAATCGTAAAAAAGCATTCGAGTTTTTTGCACGAGGTTTTATGGAGGAACAACCATTGGAAACTTCAATTCTCTACAAAGCTTACAAATGTCATCGCGAATGCAAAACATTGGATCAATTGGTGTCTATACGAAATGATGATAATGCCATGCGCATGCATGCCTTACTCACTAGTGAAAGAATTTTACTTTGTCTTGGTGATGTTTCTACTCTTCTGAATTTGATCAATAAACAATGTGATTTCTATAAAAACAGTCGTCTATATCTTCGTTGTCTCCAATTACGTTTGCACGCCAATTATTTGGCGCTGCACATGCAAAACGATCTGGTATGTTGGCATAACAATAATCTTGATGGACTCATCGAAGACTTACGCAGAGTATGACATGAAACTGGGGTGGTGCCCATCGATTCTCTAGAGATGATATCCACGTGGATATTTCATAAGGAAGATCAATATTGTTCAAGGCACTATTTCAATCTCCTAGCACTTATCGTTTAGGTAAGTATAGAATTTCACCATTGAGCAATTGTAGACAATTGTTGATTGATAACGATAATCACGTATAGTAGTCTAGTCAGAGGTCTGCAGGGCTTAGCGTCTCTTTTCCAGTGGCTAACAAAGCGACAAAGATATTGAATAGTAATTTTTATAGCAGTTCACTAAGTAAATATTTATCTTTAAAAAGAATTTTCGTCACCTGACTCCATTGTCTATGTAATTATTTTTCAAAACATATTGCTTGCAGTCTTTTACGGCACTATAAATATGGAATTTTGATCCATGGGCAGCTGAAAATTCATAGTATCAATCAATCAATCATGGAATAGTTTTTCCAGCAAGTTATGCCGACAGAAGAGTTAGAACCGAATTTTATCATAGAAGTCAAAAGATTGAAGCTCGATCATGTCAAATAGTTAAGTTTCTCTTTTTCTATTAGATGATTCAGTCGAACAAAACGACGCGTAACGAGCAGCGCATGTTTTTCTCTATTATACGAAAAGCTATGTGGCAGGAATCAATGGGTAATGGCCTTCTTGGAAACTATATTCGATCATATGCAATTTTCTCTTCCATTCAGCATTGTCCTCGATATAGGTAAGTTATGTCTCTGTCTGAGACTTTTACATTCGAAAATGTTCGTCGGTTGAAAAAGATCAGTTAGAATATTCTGAATTTTTTTTCTGAAAACAATCTCACTGTAAGTGTACTCATTTGTAAACTGCCTTCGATAAAGGGCTCCATTTCCTTCATCAAACATTCATCTCTCTAGCATCAACATAAAATTCATTTCAACTTTGTCTTGTTTAGTGTCTCAACGTTGTTAGTTGTGTTCATGTGATGATTCAATGTGGGGCAAATGTCAATGCAGTTTGTCGTTATTTCAAAGAAAGACCATTACATTTTATTGCTAAATGCTTGGATATTGATATTGCAAGACCTATCATTGAACTTCTTCTTGTTCAGGGCGCTCATACTGATTGCGTCGATGATCAAGGTCGTTTACCACACGATCTGGCATCAGAACCCAGTGTCAAAGAACTTCTGCGTACAGCGAGAAGGCTCTCGCTTAAATGTCGATGTGCTCAAGTAATTATTTCAACGAAAATGAATTATCGAAACCGTTTATCTTCAAATCTTGTTGCTTTCGTTCGATTACATTGCAACAGAGAAACAGATCAGATCAATTAAAGCTATGACAATTATTAATGACGAAATCGATGTTCAGTATATTGGTATTGATCTTTCGTATTTCGGCTAATGTTTGTGGTGGATTCAGTCAGATCGAATATGATATATCGCGTGAAGATATCGAATTAATAACATTGCACTTGAATCAATGAGTTTCTCATTTTTGACAGTAGACAAGTGTTCTTTTGGTCAGAATGTTTCCAGCAAAGAAATGAATTGGGTGTGGCTGTAGCTGTACCTATCTTGAGGATGCGAGTTTAGTTGTTTACTTTAGGCAGACCCACACCTACACCCACACGCATTATGTTCATTTGATGCTGACTTCATCCATTTTTTGTACTCTTTGCACATATGACTAATTAGGTGCTCATTTCATTTGTTTCATGATACTCAAAATACATTTTCTATTTTAATAAATAAATAATTGATATCATTGACGAAGTGGAATTGATATTGATATGACATGTTTTTGAATAAAATGAACTTTATTGAATTGTTCAATAGATTGATTTGCATGTGCTTCAATACTGTCAAAACAGAAATATAAATTGAGAAAATAATCTCTTAAAAATAAATCCAAATCTACTATAGGGTATCCTTACGGTTAGATCCTCACCGATTCCGGTTTTTGAATTTTTCCTTTGCTTGGTTTTAAAAATAAAACGTCTTTCGAAAAATTCATGAATTCATGGTCAAAAAGTTGCTAAACATATCGAAAGTTCCAAGTTTTTTGTTTCAGCAGAAGAGAAATTCAAAAAACGGGCTCTCTGAGGATCTAACCCTACCTGTCTTCTACCCATCAAAAATAAATTATCTCTTTCATATCGAGTCATTATGACGAAAAGCTTGCCCATGTAAACTGTACTGACGAAAAAACGGACTGTGAGAAAAATGCTAAAGAAATTTTAGATAATTGATTTTTCCATTCAAATTCTTTAAATTTTCGTGATACATACCTGAATCATACATAGAACACTAGAAAACTTTTCTCACTTGGCTCTCTTAAAAGACTTGCTCAAGAACTAACTATACCATTATAATGGTAAGAGATATTTAGGATTATGTACAAAATTTCAGACTTCTAAAACTAGTGCTGTCTTGTGATCTATCATTTCTTTTGCACTAGATAAATGTGGTTTCTAATACAACGCATAACGGGTTTAGTGGTCACGTTTTGTGTATCTATTTACGGTCCTTTAATAAATTGTATTAAAAACAAGCAAAGGACATCACAAGAGGCAGTATGTATAACTCTACATTTTGCATAAGATGGCAATGTTTGACAGTTGCACATTTTGCTCTAAAAATGGATCAAGTTTTGAGTCATCAAATTTTGACGCTGCCCAAAAATAACACGAATGAAAAATTTCTTTGTTCCTGTTTCACGTTTTTATCGCCGGTACAGATTGCAGAGCTTTTCACAGTATATCTTTCATCATAATTTTTTTTTTGTTTAAGAAAATATATTAGGCGGTACAAAGATGACATAAGAAAAAGAGCTCATTCTAAGCAAAAATAATATGGTTGTTGTACGTCCGAAATGTAGTTGATAAAAGTTTTGTTTGTTTTGAAACCAAAATGTGCAACAATAAGCAAAAAAAGTGGTCTGATGTAAATTGTATAGCCTCACACGTTGCATCTTATGATGGATTTTGTTTTTCTAACACAATTTAGTAAAGAATTAAAAATTGACACACATAACACGACTATGTAACTTGCCTCACTGATACAAAAGGAATGATAGACTAGACAACAAGAAATCACAAGATTTAGAAGTCTGAAATTTTGTACATAATCCTAAATATCTCTTACCATTATAATGGTATAGTTAGTTCTTGAGCAAGTCTTTTAAGAGAGCCAAGTGAGAAAAGTTTTCTAGTGTTCTATGTATGATTCAGGTATGTATCACGAAAATTTAAAGAATTTGAATGGAAAAATCAATTATCTAAAATTTCTTTAGCATTTTTCTCNATTTCTAATCAAACAGCAAGTCGAAAACCGAAGAAGTCTCAAGAATGTGAAACTCTCAATCTCACAACAACAGAAATATTTGTAAATGAATCAAGAATTGAAGATGACAAATGAAGAGTAGATATGAGCGCAATTTCAACCAAAACAGCTCATGAAATCTTAATAGATTAAATTACACACCATAGATAATGTCAACATAATTATTATTTTATTGTATTTTTTTTTTCGAATGGTAATTTTTGTCTTGAATAAAATATTAGAATTCGATATTCTCAAGTTAGAGTTTCTCTATTAAAGTAATATAAATTGTCATTTCATTAATTGATCGAAAGATTCTTTCTGAAGTTTAAACATAGAGTCAACATTCATTTTGTTAAAAAAATACTTTTTTGTTGTTTCCTACAACCAAGGCTTCACTATTAAAAGGCTATACAAACAGAAATAAGTGAACTTTGAAACCAACAATCTTTTTTTTTTTCTTTTTTTCGTTCTCATTAACAATAAAAGATGTAAACTAATGCATACACCGATGGCAGCGATTAAAACTTTTCGATAAAATTTTACATAAGTTTTCTCAATAACGAGAAATTATGAAATGAAAAGGAAAGAAATCAATGGTAAAGAACAAATTGCTAAGAAACCAGACGGTATCATCTGTAAAGAATAATTTGTGTCGCAGTGATTGAAATCTTCAGAAACTATTTCAGACAACGGTAGCAGTGCCGGATATATTTTAAAAATTTTGTGATTATTGACGATAGCAGTGGGGTGACTCAGTCGATTGGTGTACACCTCAATCGCCAATACAAATTAGTTTTATCAAAGATTAAATGTTTGCGATGTGTCACAAATATAATTTTCAATTATCTACTGTGAAAAACATCAACATTACCGTTATAAGTACGAGATTTAGTGTTCACAAGCTTAGCTGAATATTAGTATATGAGACTTTTCTAGGAAGTCATTTTCTTTTTGAATAATGCATTTTGATATTATCAACTGAGTAAAACCTGTTTTAAACATGTATTTATCAACATAAATCAGTATGAATGATGAAATCTTTATTGCTGTAAAAGTTGTAAATATTTCTATACTTTTATAATACTGAATTGTATTTTGTGATGTAAGATAAGAAAATATTTCATGATAAGTCGTAAAAATAAATTGTTAAATTATGGTATTGGTGATATAGTGTTTAACTTTAACCATGCAATGGATGTCGATTTGTTGTTGATAATACAACATATGCATACGGAGTATTAATTAATTGTATTGAAAGTTGTATTTCTGTTATATAAGAAACAATAAGGTTTTTTTTTATTTTCAAATTCACATTGTATATTTTCACGTTCATCCATAAAATCAACTGAACATAAACAATTTATTGATGTAAAAGATTTTCGTCTATGTAAAATAATTTTATTTGTAAATTTATAACTTTTTTTCAGTAAATGATTCATTATATGTAAAATGTTCACGACATAATAATGTAACATGAAAGTCGTACATCATTGAGAATTCCTATGACGAACGTCCAGATAAAGGATGGAACGAGGTAAAACATTCGTAGTTGTTCAATCTAGAGATGTGTTGTTGGGTCAAAATTTGGGGTTCGTTGGGGCCCGAAGTATCGAAAACACTCAGTGAATTATTATTATAAGCTACTAATCAAAATTTAATTCAAGAGATATGAACAAACAAAAATGCAAGGCATCGACATTTTAGACTTGATACGAACAAACAGTGAATTAGTTTTCTCTCGATTGATACCTAAAATAACTAAAATCAATAGGGTCTTTATGAAGTTACAGTGCTATTAATGACTCTATTGATCTAATTGTCTTAGATTTTCACACTGATTTTTCTTGATACTGATGTTTCTTGTGCTTAATTTTCCTGTATTGGAATTTCCCATGGGGAAAATTTCGTTTTCACGGGTAATCATCTATCGATGCTTTGTTTTTCTTTCATTATTTGTGTCTATGGTTTCTATCTATGTTTGCCTCCTTATGCAACTCATATAGTTGATTATAATGTTCTTCTTCATGATCGTTATACTTTCTTTGTTGTCCCTGCCCATTTTACAAAATTTTATTGCAACCATGAGAAGTTTAAAAGACATGTGTAAACAGACTTTTGAGCATTAATTTGATTCAAGAAACACAATAATATCATACTATTTCTTGTTTACATCAAATTTTTTTCTTATTATTTCTTGTTGCTTATTGACTGTAATATTTTTTTTCTTATTCATCATTTATCTAATGAGTTGATTGATGTTTCGATAGTCACCACTCATTTTATCATAGTTGCATTATGCAATCACGTAACAATGGCATGTGTCTATTGCATGTAGTTATATCTCAAGTGAGTTCAGAAAATATAGAAAAAAATGACGCAATAAATCAACAGTTTCTGTCTAAAAGAAAAAGCTTCAACAATTCTTTTCTATCAGAAGACAAAAAATTAGTTCATTTGATGAAAAGACAACAACAATGTCTAAATTTCATTTTCTATCATGATTCTTGAGATGGTCTATGTAGACATGAAAAGTACTAAACCTATTCAAAAATACTTTTTTATTTCCAACAAGGTTTATTTTCGATTTTTTCGTTCTCTTCCATAATAAAAAGAATTCAAAGAGGGATTTAAGTAGAGAAAATTGTTGTCAACAAAGATCTGAGACAATAGAAAAATGTCTTTGACTCTCAAAGATAGGATATTCAGAAAATCGAAAACCTAATTTTTCATTATCTGCAACCCACAAATATAATTTTATTTTGAACTACAAAGAATGATAGAGCAAACAATTCTCTACAAAATGTGAAGCTTTCGAATTTTCTACGATGGTTTTTGTTTTGACTAAAATACATTCATTTTACGAAAGATTCCGAAGTCGTATATTTTTTATCTCATTCCTTGTGGGAAAATCGTTTTCGAGCTTTCCATAAAAATTGATATATTTCGATCAGAAAACACCATAGAGAGTTCGGAAACATCTCCTTCTGTAGAAAATTGTTTGCTCTATCATTTGTTTTAGTAATTTTGAATAAAATTATATTTGCGGGTTTTGGATGCTGAAAACCAAGGTTTTCAGGTTTCTGGGAATCCTACCTTTGAGAGTCAAGGAAATTTTTCTATTTCCTCAAACCCATGTTGGAAACAATTTTCCTCTACTTGAATCACAATTTCAATTCTTTTTAATGTTCAAGGAATAGAAAAAAATTGAAAACAAGTCTTGCCGGATAATTTTGAGAGTCACTGTATATGAAGTTTTGCAAAGATAGATATTAGTGATGTTTTTACAAACTACAAATACTCAACCTAAATGTACAATGTAGTTTGGATTAACTATTTGCCGAGAAAATGTCTACATGCCAAGAAAAGATAGAAAAATATTCTAGAGAACTAGGTAGTCTAATAATATGCATAAACCAACAGAATTTATCGATGTTGTATATAAACAAGTTGAAAATTTATTGATAAATTATTATTATTGCTTAAATTTTCATGTGTTTATTCTTACTTCTGTATTGTGTTTTTATTCGTTCTTCATTGAAGACAGTTTAGACTAATTAAAGAAATGAATGAAATTTTTCGAAGAAAAATAAAAGTACACTGATAATACGCGACTATTCTACAAAGTTTTGTGTTTTATTCAAGATTCGATTGACTGGCTATCATTAATGCAAACGTAAAAGTTCATAGCTTTAGGGTGCTCATCACAAAATTGAATCAACCGAGTCCATTGAGAATTCTGGTTGATTAATATATTGATCATCATTATATTTAGGATTTTGGCTTACTAGATGAGAATAAAACTCTAAACTATTGATTTATTCTTCAATTTCTACATTTATTTCCTTGTCTAATTATTTATTAGATCTTTTTTAAATTTGACTCTTTAAGCTAAAAGTTTGAATTTTGTCGTCCCGTATCTTCGAAGATTAATAGTTTCAAATAAAATATGAAAGATGTACTACGAAAATGAAACAAAAATCATCAAACTTTTATGTATAAGAGATCAATATAAATTGTTATTTATAAATGTTAACGTGGGGAAATGTATACAAGTTTTTTTTTATGCATATTTCATATTTTTGTCCATGATGACGCATTCAAGACTTTTTTGGAAGATTCCAATAAAACATTTCTTCAGTCAAAGTGATTTCTCCCTTATATTTTAAATTAAGAAACCTCTTTGCTTTATTCTCCATGAATCATTTATTTGTCTTGTCAAACGAAACCTCAGTGAGAGAAATTTTCTATCGAAAAAACAAAAATTTGGATCGATTCTGTGTTTACTCTTGATGTCATTTTTTTTCTTGTTCTTTGTTTTTTTTATGAATCAAAAGTTTTTTTTTTCGATAAATCCATTCATCTATCCAGTATTACTTTCATCTCTTTTTTCGGATTATTTCCAATCATTCGAAAAACAAAGATTTTTCCTCTCTCTGTTTCTATACAATATATAAAAGTCTTAATACAAGTTATTAAATTCAGTTTATAACTTATTCACATCTCTTGGATAAATCCTTTTCATCTTATATTATAAAATATCATTCAAAAGTTAATTCATTTTTCACACATTCGTCATTATGCCGCGTACAGCTACAAATAGTCTTATGGCTTGTACGGGATATTCAACTACTCTTACTACTAGTGACCGTCCGACGAGTGCCAATAAAAGTCCTAGTAGAGGTGATAAATACTATGGAAAACAATTCTTTGATGATAAAAATTACAAATCGATTCTCGAATGTCTTGATGGTGGTTAGTTTTCTTCATTATTAGTTCACTAAAAATTTTTGTCTCATTCTTTTTTTTTGTTCTAGGCTATCAAATCTTAAAAGATTTGCTTGAATATATGCAAGATTATTGCAATGTTCTAAATGAAAATATTAAAAGTCTTACTTTATACTCAAGAAAATGGACCCTTAAAGTAGAACAACAATCATTACTTTCATCATATAATACAACTAAAAGTGCACAATTAGAAGTAGTTCGTGCACCTGAACGTCATGCTGAACTTATACAAGCTCGTTTTGCGAAGGTTCAAACAATTATTAAGATATACACTGCAGAAGTAGAAAGAATGTATCCACGTGTACTTCTCAGTATTACTCATAAACATTATCGAACGGATGCAATGAGAAACTTATTCAAAGCTGCTTATTCATCATTATCTGATTTATCAAGTAAACGTGAAAAATTACGTGAACAAGAAAAACTAATAGTAGATACTCTAAGTGATGATGATGCTCAATATCAAACAAAACAACAAAAGAATTTGAAAGACATTAGAGAAGTGATTGAACGAACTGAAAGAAAATATGAACGAGAAAAAGTACTTTATCGTGAAAGACTAACAAACATTTATGAAGAATGTCGAGCATTGGAACAAGAGCGATTGGATTTAATGCGAGAAACTTTAATCAAATTCATTAAAGAAGCATTTTCATTTGAAAATGTAACTCAACAACGTCAAATCTATGAAGATCTCAGTTCAATGCTGCAAATTCAACAAAATTCATCTCAAGATCTTGATTTTTGGGCACAAGCTTATGGTGTTTTCGATTCAAGAACATCTCTATTATCTGCAAATAAACAGAGAGATAATAATGATTGCAATAAAAGGACTTCTAATCAAACAACAAGTCGAAAACCGAAGAAGTCTCAAGAATGTGAAACTCTCAATCTCACAACAACAGAAATACTTGTAAATAAATTGAGAATTGAAGATGATGAAGCTGAAGATGACAAATGAATGCCAGATAGGAGCACAAGTTCAGGAAAAAATGAATAATGGTACAACAGTGATCAACGAACTGATATTAAACTGTAAAAAAAGGGCATTAAATCTTAATAGATTGAATTACATAAACTAGATATTGTCAACATAGTTTTTGTTTTACTGCATTTATTTTTTTTAATTAATAATGTTTTTTTAAATAAAATGTCAGAATTCGATATTCTCAAGTAAAAGCCTCTTCATTAAAGTAAAATAACTAGTTATTTCATTAATTAATCGAAGAATTCTTGCTAGAGTTTAAACATAGAGTCATGTTTCATTTCTAACATCTCTATGTAAATGGTGAACACATACTTTTTTGTCGATTCATACAACCAAAGTCTGCCTGTTAAGAGACTACACAAACAGAATAAGTTAACTTTGAAAAAAATAATCTTGTTTTTTTTTTCTTTTTTTTTCGTTCTCCTTATGGATTAGAGATGTAAGCCGATGCATACACTGGTAGTGGCGACAGAAAATGTTTACATTTTTTTCGTGTTCTGCCGCTTCAGCAACTAAGACATTTCGATGAGTTTTTGAGAAATTTTCTTAATTTCGAGACATGATGAAATGAAAAGAAAAGAAAACAACGGCAAAGGACTAATTATAAAAAAAATCGACGGTGTCATGTCTAAAGATTAGTTTGTGTCGCGGCGGCTGGAACCTTTAGTAACTATTTAAGGCAACGAAGACGGCGCGCTTGAATCGCTTGAGTGAAAGTGGCGGGGGATATAATTTAGAAACTTTGTAGTAATTATCGATAGCAGTGACCTCTCAATCGATCCTCTCTTTCACATCTTTATTGATGTGAAAATTCTAAATGTTTCTGTACTTTTATAATATTGAATTGTTATTTTATGATGTAAGATAAGAAAGAAATATTTCATGATAACTCGTAAAAATAAATATTGAATCATAATATTGATAAGTGGCATTTTAGTAGCACATCCAATTGAAAATCTATTTGAATAAAGAAAATTTTGCAACGTGTATGATTAGAACAGCTTGTTATAAACGCTTAAAATCAAAGCAATAAAAAGGTACTTAGATCTATACTGATTCATATTAGTACATTCAGTATAAAATATATTGTTCATCATATTCGAAATTCAAACTCTCTTTATCTACAAAAACTTTTTTTTGAACTTCGTATTGCATGATCATGACAAAAGAGACTATCCCAGCCTATTATTATGCTGATCGTAAATACTTGTATACTGCCGTTGACGCTGCTATCAGTGGTTGCAGACGGTATATTACAATTGTAAATGAGCTATAAATCAACCTTTGGATGATAGCATAGTATTATACTCGAATACTGCCATGTCGTATTCAACGTCATAAACATATCATTCCCAGTGATACACGTGTCGCACAAAGACAGTATTTTAACGAATACGACCATATGTGTTAATGTCCACGACCGCATCTTCACGTCATTTATCGCAAAAAAAGGATAATGAAGCGATCCTTATCAACAATAAAGCCAAATCTCCATAGCTTGAAACTTGTGAGCTTATATGCATATCAAAGCCTGAAATGGGGTAGATTTTTAGCTCCGTGCCTCGCTCCACGCAGAAAAAAGTTTCCTCGCTTCGATCTTAATTTTATTTTCGTTCCTTTACTTCGTCCCGACCTTAATTATTTGTTCTTCATCACATCGTTAAGTACTTATAAGATATTTTTTCCCTTGGCCATATCATTTCTTTAACTTCATGTTGGAAAAAAAGACACAATAATAGAATAGTAAAACCAGAATATAACTGGTCATTAATAAATCTTGCTGTTATTCTCTATAGAGCGAAGAAATAAAATATTATTAACAGTTGTGGAATGTAAATTAGGTCGTCTTTTGTTGATAAACTGTTCTGGTACTGAAAATTCTTTGTCAATAACAGCTGAATCGTGTGGCACTTGGTATATGCAACATGCCAATTTAGAGAAATCTGGAAAAAGGCTCTTGTGTTCATATAAAAATAAGTTTGAGCTTGAACAGTTTTTGTCTGATTTGAAATCGATATAAATATCGATTTCATCTTGTATTATTGATGTTGACTTTCTTTTTGTCGCTTTGTCATCCATTAACTGTTCAAGAAACTCTTTCTGGTGGATCATTTTCAACATCAACTGTTGGGGTCGAAGTCACGTTCGACCAGAGATGTCCATCGCGGCAGAACATTTGCCGCTACCGTGACGCGATGGTACATAAAAGAAAAGCTACCGCGCGGCTGCCGCGACGCGCTTAGCACGAGCTATGCTTCGTACAACATTAAAATTTCATATTTGTCTCATACGATGGAGTCACATTAAACGTACTTGTTATGGAAAGAAGCTCTATTAATCTATCTATTACTGGAATTCGAATTCTAAGCACTGCCAATTTTTTCAGATATGATAAAAGAAGTTTTTAAAATTTCCATCGCTTCCGCGCCACGGTGGCCAAAAAAAGATAAGTTGCCGCTGCCGCCACGATACTTTAGAAAATATGTCACGCCGCGATGCTTTTCCAAAAAACTTTGCCGCTGCCGCCCCGCTAACCGCTACCGCGATAGACATCTCTGCTTTCGACAGACATGCAGCGCAAGCACGACAACATTTTGCTTTTTGAGCTGTTGTTAGTAGCAGTAATCATGCTAGTTTTAGATGAAGAAATGAACACCAATAAAGCGTGTGATAAAGGATATAGCAGGTTTTTGATAGACTGTTTGTGTTAAGTTGGACTCAACGAAAAGGTTTAATACCGATGTTAAAAGATAGGAAATTTTCTGTGAATTTAACGAAATGTCCTATGCTAAATTATCGTTAGGCGCATTTTTGTAACACCAAAATCACTGAATACTAGAGAAAAGCTAACTTCTCAGCTTCGAAATCATCACATTTATAAATCCAATTTAGCGAAATTAGGTTGAGCTCAAGTTTCATTTTTCTTCAAGCATGGCATGTAAAGTTGTTTACCTCATCAAATGATGTGCCTAGTTAGACATTCTTAATGTATCTCTTATTGAAAACCTACAGAATACCTTAAATACATCCTCGGCCCAATAACTATAGGCATATACTTTGTATCCTTCCTTTAAGTAGTAAAATTTTGCGCAAATGTTTGGCTTCATATCTACGAAATCAATATGCTTCTCTCCTTTTCTCACTGTGTTTGAATAGCGCGTATAGAAAGCTATTTAACAAATAAAAACTGCATCAGGTTCTAGTGAAATGCTGAGTAGTTGATGTTTTCGAGGCATGCAGCAACTTTGATGTTACAAAGAAATGAAAAAGTATTTATTGAAACTATCAATGTACTATAAATAAATTTTACATAAAATTTTCTGTTTTACTCTTCTGCACTCTTTGTCTATTTATCTTCCACTATAAAGAAAGAATTCTATAGAGACTATTCACTTTTAACGAAAAAGTTGTATACTATCATAGTCTATATATTAATATTTACATTGTGAAGCTATGACGAGGAAAATTCGGGGATTTTAACTTAATCTCGCCTCGATTTTCTGTCTTGTTTCAGTCTCTGATGCATATAGTACATCCATACATTCGTGGCAATGATTATTTAATAACAAAGTCATTCGTAGTTTTTCACGTTCATTGAAATATGATTGAAATGTCGGACAAAACCTGATATCACACAATAACATAGTCAAAGATGAATTCTTCTTCATATATGTACGATAGATGCTATTAAATAGTAGATAACTTGGTCCATAAGATGGCTTTTGAAAAGCTGTAATAAAAATTTGACGATTTTGATTTCTCTATATATAGATCGAGAAAATCAGCAGTTGGATCTATATTGGCTGATAATTGTATATTTTGATCAAATTTATTCCATCTGTTGATTTTTTTGAATACATATCGAACAGGCCAATTAAATGTAAGGAATAAATCATCCATATATAGAAGATGCAGTCTACCACTATTGCTGATCCATTTCACTATTTGTCTTTCATAGAAGAACATATAACAGCTGTCAATAGTTAAAACGAGAGGAGAGCTTATTGCCCCTTGATAAATTTGATGACAATATTGGCCATCATACCAAAAAAAAATCATTTTGCATAAAAAATTGATTCAATTTTATTATTATTTCCAATTTCAACCCTCTGATTTGTTTTAATTTAATAAAATCCATCATATTCTTTGGTGAGAGTACTCCTACAGTTTGTGATACCATTGCATAAAGATCTACCATATCAATTGTACATAACGCGGTATCCTGATGCAGATTAACTTTAGACCATCCTTGTAACAATTTGACTAGTTCAAAAGCTACTTTGTTGAAGAGTGTTCAGAGTAAATCATCAAGAAATTTTGATATCTTTATTATGCGATGTTTAAGGCCAGAGACTCTTGGGTGAAGACAAATACCAGGTTTGTGGGTTTTCGATAAAAATACAAATATGGTAATTCAACTTCAACTAGATTAATACATAATTTTTCATACTGTGTTTGATTTATGCATTTTGCTAATTGTAAATATAATAAATATTTATTTGTTTATTGAACTAAATCTAGTAGTGGATCATTGTTTCCTAAGAATTTATATACTTTAGTTTTGTTCATATATTCTTCGGATTTTTTACGATAACCTTCAAGTCAATCCAAATGGAATTTTTTTTCTAATTATTGAAGAGTTAATCATTAGAGATCGATTTAATTGGGTATGAACTAATAATACATCATTTGAAGCCTTCTGATGTTGCTTTACCGCAGGGGTATCATGTAGGTTTTGAAGTAAAATAATCAGTCTGGGGATAAATTCTTCAACTGAACGACCGAGACTAACCTGCTTTTCGAAGAAATAAGCTTCTATCTTTTATTTGAGAGTAGCCAACTTAGTAATACATCTTCGGGATGCGGTTTTAGAATCATTATAAATAAAGTGAGAAGCTCATTTTGATAACTAATATTCGTCCTCGGTTGACAAACATTTGCTGCATTAATTATGGCTATGACAAGAAATCCTCGCCAAGTGATCGTGTAAGAGCCGAGACAATGATTACTTCGTCTTCATTATTGAACTTGTCCTCGACTCGCAATTCGTATAAAAGACAAAATTGATTGTTCAACTTCTAATTTTAATCCTTTTACACGTAGATCATGATAATGTTTGAATGCAGCGTAGGTAACTTCTTCATCATCATCATTGTTTACTTGTGAAGAACATTTTATAATTCGTTTAATCTCATTTGATAAAAGTTCGTGTTCTCGGTTAATTGCTTGAGCATGTGTTGTCATAGTTTCTGTACGATATTGTTTAATAAACTGTTGAATATTCTGATATGTAGCTTGTGCTTCTTCTTGACTTAATATTGTTTCATTGACTTTAAAAGCTAAATGATTTTTTTGCTATAAATTTCGGAGGTAAGCCATATTCGACACTTTTTAAGGCTCTGAGGCAATTCTTATTTTAAAAGGACCATATCTTCAGTTTTGGTTTTAATATTAAATGACTATTCCATTGAAATGAAGTGGCTACCCCGCTCAAATGAATAGAAGGGAAATGACCATGAAAATGAGTATTGAATCATTCGCGAAGCATTTTGACTACTTTATGATCATCGAGTCTAATTTTTCGGTGATTTTAGCTAATTTGTATATGTGTATAGCTTCTAAAAATGATTCAAGTTACAAGTCTTTGCCTACAAGTGTTCATATTTCACATAATAGTCGACAATATAGTATGAATTCAGACTAAAAGTCGAATGGAATCAATTATATCTATATCCTTATTCCTATGCTTCTATCACTAATTTATACCACTATGACTATTCCCTAATATCTAGCCTATTAAGACTATACAGTTGCACCCATATCCTTATTAATTTTCTCTTACGACTATACCTTTTTATTTATACCTGTCTCCCTATAGCCTTCCGCTTAAACGCACCTCATTAAATGCTTTGTTGCATTTGCTAGATCCACAGTTGAACCACATGTGTCGGGCAACAGTTACGTATAATGTAGTTGAAGCGATTTATTGTATTTGATGTTCTATTGACTCAGTGGCGAACGTATATCGAAACGCTTTTACAGTTGACACATACGATGGCCTAAGATATTATCGGAGCATCCTTAAAGTTGACGTATTGTTTGAATAATAGTAAAAAACGATTTTTTACGATCATTGTTTCGAATCTGATATTACATCGTATAGCATCGTCTACGATTACTTTAACTCTTTAGTGCCGGGATTCTTTTTGAAAAAACTAAGTTTTTTAATATAAGTGACATTAGATGTTTATTCAATAAAAAATCATGATCAAGCCAAAGGGTTAAACGATCACTATACATGATACAACATATTAAAGCCTACTCGAAACATGGATGTGAACACTTAGAACACATCGTGAGTGAATCGCTGCTGAAATTGCTCCAAGGTTTCTCTAAAGTCTATGATAAAAAAAAACAGTATTTTGCAATGTGTGAGACTATCGTTCTACACATATTGGAAGTTTGATTTCACCATTTGATAGGGCATGTCAAAATCTACTTGGTACACCAATGACAACATCTGAGAGAATCGTTGCTTGAATTACTCAAATTGGCTGCTAACTTCACCTAAGTAGCTATTGCACACTGCTAGGAAATATTATTCTTATGAACTTAATCGGATTAGATGTAATAGAGTGTCGAAAATAAGCCTTGTCATTAAAATTGAGATACAACAAAGCTGAACATATGAATTTCGTCAATATAATTAAATGTATAAAAGTACATTAAGATTTACTTATTTATATTGTTTCTAGTCTACAACAATAAATTAATTATTAATCCATGCAAATCCTCTTTGTATGTTTATGACAACATTAATAATATTATTGTTAAAGAAAGAATATTCCAATTCTTTTTTGAAAAATTTGTAATCTTATTTCTTATTGTTTTTTCTTATTTGAATTTCATTTAGAAATACATAGGGGATCACAGAATAGGAAAAATACAGGAATGGTATCACACACACACACGAAAGATAACATACACTTCTATGCACAGAAAAAAATTCTAAGAAAATGCATTTTGTAATTTGCTTGCAAGCATATTTATTGTTGGTCCTTGAGTTAAGCTCGCTGGAAATTTTTGTAAACTAGCTGGCAATTTTGATTGCAACGATTGACTTGTATTAGCTATAGTATTTTGTATAGAATTAGGTAATCTATTTCGAAGATTAAAAGTTGTTGAACTACGTGAACCAAATGTGACATTAGGTGGTGGTACGGATGATGATTGACTTTTAACAGGTAAAGTACCATTACGTACAGATAATGGACTTGTATTAGATGGTCCAGTATCAAAACTGGATGTATTATTGTACATGGCTGATGATGGACTATTTGTTCCTGTTGCAGGTAAATTTGATGTTGAACCTTTATCACCATATTTCATTTCATAATATTTTCGAACAACATTAGGTGTTGCTGGTGCACTTGAACCACTCGCAAGTCCTACAGATGATGGTCCATTAACAGATTCAGACAAACGATTAGACATTGATGGACTTTGTATAGCTACTTGAAGTTCATGAATTTTTTTTTCTAATTGAAAATTTTCATTTTGTGCTGTCAATAGTTCACGCCTAAATTGTTTTGTTTGTATTTAGAAAATATCTTATTTAATAATAAAAGAAAAAAAAAACAAGAAAACAAATGATGCATACATTATTTGTATTTTTTGTTTGCGTACAATATCATCTAATGGTGAATATTCAGGTGCAAACATTAAATGTGAAAAAAACATTTCAATTTCAATTGTAACACTTTGTTGATCATTTAAATAACCACGTTCAGTTAACTAAACAAAATAAATTTTGTAGCAAGATGTTTTTTTTTTCTTTCTCAACTAACTTCTGTTACATCCAATGTTGTACTTATTTCTAAACCTTCATCACTATCTTTTTGTGAATAATATTTTGTAACTGGTTTTTGAAAAACACTTGTTGTTGTTTTTGTATCCCGATAATTACGTACAGTAATATTAAAACATATTGAACGTACATAATTAGCTGGAATTTTAAATATATCAGAATAATATAAACGTATGATAAAACATTGTTCTTCAATATATGCTTCAACAGTCCATGCTTGTTGATCTTTATCAAGAAAAGGTACTGGAATAGGATTTGGTGCAAATGGATCGACCATAATTGGGAAGACAGCTAAATAAATAAAAAAGCAAAAAAAAAACTCAATCGATTTTCTAAAATAAATATTTTATTTACTAATAGCATCTTTAAGTTCAACAGTAAGTGTAAATTTTCCATTAGCTTGAAGTAATTCACGTACGCGATCTATTTTATATGGTCGACATAAACCATGTATATCGGTATAATTTATTTCATATGTATTACTATCATTTGAATTTATTATTTTTTTTTCTTGATTTGGATCCCATATATAAGATCCAGCTGTTAGTTTAATACGATATGTTAATTTAACTGAATGATCACATGGTGTTAAACGTTGTATAAACATTCGAAAATGTCCAACTTGTCCTACACTATCAAGTTTTGGTTGTATAACAACACACCATTCATAATTTGAATAATAAAATAATGCTGTTTCAATTTTAGTATCTAATGGTTGTCGATTTGTTGTTGATTGTGCAACATGTGCATATTGAGTATTAATTAATTGTGGCGGAAGTTGTATTTCTGTTATATATGAAACAATAAGATTTTTTATTTCAAGTTCACATTGTATATTTCCACGTTCATCCATAAAATCAACTGAACATAAACGATTTATTGATGTAAAAGATTTTCGTCCATGTAAAGTAACTTTATTTGTAAATTTACAATTTTTTTCAGTAAATGTTTCATTACGTGTAAAATGTTCACGACATAATAATGTAACACTTAAGTCAAGTGTCATTTCAAGCGTTTCTATATCACGACTACGATGTAATAAAAAAGCATTTAATTGATCACCATTTTTAACAAATGTTAATGCAAATGGAATATTACGACATAAAAATTCTCGTGTAGTTAATTTTTCTTCTGTTCCTAGTAAATACGTACTTGGAAGAATAAATGTAAATAAGCTAAAATAAAACAAAAGAAAAATATTTCAAAAAAAATTAAATTTTTCTTTTTTTTTCATACTTCGTATTGAACTTATCTTCAAACGAAACAAAACGTGTAAAATGAGCCATTTAATTAAGTATCATTATTATCTAAAATTAATATAGTTCTTTCATCATTGGATAACATTATTTTATGTTCAATTCCAAACAGTATACAATAGATTTAGATTTATAAAACTATCATATATATATATATATATGAGAAAAAGACAACGTTATCCCGCATACTTGCTAACGTTTACGCGCTTTGTGCATGCCTTCATCTTTTTTTGCTTGATGAATAGATTTCGAGAGCGGAAAGTCGTTTCTTCGGTGTTCTTTCAGCACGAATAGAATTATGAGATGCCGCAACATGCACTCCATAGAGATTTGCACCATGTTATATAGACGTGCGCTAGAGCACGGGCAGCGGGAAACAGCCCCGTCTATCTCTGATATATATATATAGACAGCGAGAACAATCAGTTTTCTTTCTAAGATTTGTACTATCTTTTGTTAGGAAATACTTCTTCATTGCAGTATAATACATTTTGTGATATGTTACAATTTATAATTAATAGGAAAAACAAAGAAAAAAAATTTAAATTTATATCTTGTTATTTATTAGCTCTTTATAGAAGCTTTAAATATTTCTAGGATTTTTTGTTCTATAAAATATGTTCTATTATAGTTTATGTTGAATATTTTCTAATCGTTTAGCTGTCATATATTGAATCTGATCAATTGTGAATAGTTGATATATTATTCATATGGAAAAGAAACTGAGAAGATTAATCCGAACATTATCATTAACGAGACTATCTATCATTTTTTTTTTCTTTCTCTTTCTCTGACGTTTATACTGAAGTTGTATTTGGCAACCATCATGGAATGCACATCTTTTCTATTTGTCAAATACAAAACTAAGAAAATGAAGAATGAGAAGAAGTACAACAAGTGAAATAAGAATATCTAAATGAAAAAATGAATCGCGCAATAATCAGAATAAAAAATGAAATAATATTTTGATATGTAAATAAATCTCTTTTAAATGAGTTGTTTAGACGTCTCTTCAAGGAAAAGAGTTCTTGACACATAATTGGTCGAGACGGAGAGCAACTCTAATGCTTGTTTTTTTTTCCTGAGAACTGCTTGAAGATATAATCATTATTTTTTTTTTGAGACTAAACGACCGTGTAACAAATTACAGAGAAAAACCTTAATACGTTTGTCATTAAGTTAACAGAGTCAATTAATTCTAGTTTTTCTATTATTGTGAATAAGGCGGATCAATGATAAGAAGAAGATGATGAAAAAAAAACAATTCTCTTCTCTCTTCGAGTTTTCTTTTTTATATGTTCAGTTTTGAAGGCTTCTTTATTCATCAAGACCTTCAAACATGGGAACCCAAACGGATGTCCGTCTTAAATACGTTGTGCCCTTTCTAGGTAACTATATACAGTACACAGTCTTCTCATGCTATCATCATTAGCATGATGAACACGTATTCATATTGCATTTTTAGTCGGATACAAGCATGAACTTTTCGAAATATATATAAATATTTGATAAAATATTCAAATATTGAAAGAATAAAAAATAAAGAAAAAGATTATGAATTCATTATAAATTATGTACTTACAATTCTTTTCATTGTCATTGTATGCTTGTTGATGTTAATGTCTTATAGCCTCTATCCTATCTGATTATAATGCCAGCGCTTGCCTTTGTGAACATACACGCAAAAAGAAAAACGCAAGTTTGGGGAGGGAACTATTTTTTTTTTCTTTTTTTTCCTTCTTGTCTTACTGCTACGGATGCACAGTGATAAAAAATGAGAGAACATAAGGGAAAGAAAATCTCTGGAATCTATTATGTCAACGCTGCTCGTCATCATCGTCATTGAAACCGAAAAGAAAAGGGATGTTATTATATGCATGTATATATGCTCGACGTTCATTGACTTTTGATGGATTTCTACAATCATCATCATCATTATTATTATCGGTACCATCCATATAAAATTTACGGTTTTGTTCGTGATTGTTTTTTTTCGACGATAATAAATATGACAGAAAAGAATCCTCAAAGTCTTGCCTCAAATGATTTGTGTTGTTGCCATATGAATGAATGGAGAGCGAGTTGTTTCCCGCTCTCTTTCTTTCTTGTTCTTCTCATTCTTCTCTTTCTGTCTTTAGATTGCCGTCACAAAAACTAGTGAAAAAATATTGAACATGGCAACATTAGATGCTTTCTCTTTCTTAGTAGCAAAAGCGTGTGCGCTACAATGAATGAGAAGTCGCCATACGTAGGCAGCGCCAACAGCATGTAGATTCAGATACTGAGAGCGAGAATGAGAGAGCTAACGCAAGTACGAGTGAAAGAAAAAGGATAAGACAAAAAAATGCCTAATAAATTTTTTGTATGCGTGGTTAAAACTAGACATCGCTGTTGTCTCGATAGTCATGAGTATATGAAGACGAAGGCGAGAATAAAAGAGCCTATCAGGCTTAACTGAATGTGTTGCACACCCATCCGCTCGGAACCATTCTTTCTCTCTCTTGTTTTTTTATCTATGTTAGTTTTCTTTATTGAACATGTATTCCGCTGAGTTGTTGCTTCATCTAACATCAAGCACGACAAATATCGTTATAAATACACAACTTCACACATCCACATTCATACAACAGTCAACATTGACACACTATCGCTTGTGTATGTTTGTTAATAACCTGAGGAAAAAGGCTATTTTTAGGAAAATATCGTCATAAAAATGATTTAAAAGACAAGCATTGCTAGCAATTAGAAATTCATCGAAAATTCTATTAGAAATTCCTGACACATTATTTATTGTAGTAGGTGTCGATTAAAAATGATTGTTTCATTCGTTTCCTTATTTGTACGATAATTCAATTATCTATTCAACAATTGATTTTCTTTATATATATCATTATTATTAATTATATTCTTCTTTTACGTAAATAAATATCTATAGCAATTCATAGGTTAGCAAACATTAGACAAAAAAAAAAAAGAAGAAAATCTACGATATTTTGTTCATGTTTAACACACACATGACTAATATTATCTTTTATTTATCATAAATAGATTTGAATATATTATAAGAAAATTAAAAATAATTATTCAAATCAAATAAATTATCGTTTATATTGAATATTGCATAAAAAAAAATTTATTAGAAAACAAATAAGATAATTAGATAACGTTATAATAAGCTTAACAATTAATATGAAATAAAAAAATTTCTATTACATGAATATTTTAGAATACAAACAAATAACAAATTTATATTATTATATACAATGAAATAGATTGACAACCTTAATTTAGTATGTTGATTAAGATTTTTTATCGGATGACTAAAAATGAAATTGACATGCAAATCAATGTTCGAAGACCTAACTGTAAGTTCAGTTAGTCAAAAAAACAAATGTCTATGTCAGCATCTAATCACTAAAGTTCATTAATCTTGTGAAACAAATTAGTATGAATTGTCTGGCAAAACTCTCAAGATTGACGTAACCTAGAATATCAGCATCATTTAACTTTGATTTCAACCGGAAATAATGAAATGCCTTTATTCTTGATTAATATTTTATATATAATATCAAGATGAATAGTAATTTCGATTTTAACATAAAATTGATTGATATATATATAACTAAGATCGGAAAAAAAATATAGATGATTCCAATAATTACAATCATCTTCAGAATAGATTTTTGTTTAATATCCTGAATAGAATATAGTAGACAGTAATTCTTTCTTTTCTTCAGCTCTCTTCAATCACGTCAAATAGTTCAATCGATCTCGGTATCTAGTCGCGAAAGAAAAAAAAGTAATAATTATTCAATGAAAATTAATATTTATCTATAACTTTCAAAAATATTCTTTATATGAGCCATTTCAGACAAAACAGAACATACCTATCTTTCATTTGACTTTGATTTTTGACAAGGGATAATTTTCTGAATAAGTTCTTTTAACATAGACATATGAAAAATGTTCACTTGTTTACCTGATTATTAGTTACAAAGTAATAAGTGAATATTTCTTTAACCATAAGCAAACAAAAATCTAAAAATCTCAGGATAGATTCTACAACACAAACCACATTCTTGTTGGGATTTTCAGCAAGATTGTGCTCCAGAAAACTCGATTTTCAATAGATCCTGTCAAGTTCAAAAACAGAAATTTTTCTCTTATCACCATCTAGAGATTTCAAAGAAGAATTCGTACCGTTTCAAACTGATTTTGAACTTCTCATTCAGGTATAAGACTATTTTTTCGTTTAGATATTTGTGCTTTGTCATGTTGTTAATGAAAAGTAAATCAATTTAAAAAACAAAATCTAGGCATGCTCAGAAAAAAACTTTCGATAGTGATTTCGTAGCTTCAGAAACTGTCTACGGAATATATTATTTAGTTTTCAAACATGATACTTTCGTTGTGAATTTTTTTAAATTAAAATGCATAAAATGAAAGTTGATATCGTTTTTTGTGTTAAGTTTCTAATGCCAGTTTTTTTTACTGATAACTCTTCGGAAGAAAAGTCTCTAGTACTGATTTTTTCAGAGTATCTAGAGTAACTTAACATACATGTAACACATAAAAATTAGCTCTAGAAAAATTATTATCCCGAGATACACGTGTTTTTATTTTGCGAAATTACGTTACTAACAAATGATTTTGCCCATATGTTGAATCATGATTGAAAATATACGTATTTACATTAATAATTGAGTCAAAGAAATGATAATTTTTCATTGTTCATTAAGTCGATAGAATCGATCGTTTGATTCAAACAATGTTGCAATCAAATGTTTTCTCCATACGATGACTAATACAAGAAAGAAAAAGAAGAAGAAGAAGCGATATTTGATTTTTTTTTCCTTCTTTTACATTTCAACACTTTTATTCTTTGCTTCTTGCCACTCACCAACCTACCTACGAGTAAATAAGAGAGTATTGCTTTGTTTCTATTGACAAACGTTTTAATTTTTTTTCAAGTTTCTTTTTCTTTTGCTTATTCTGCCACTTTTATTGTACACGCACTAAGCAAGAAAAAACAACAAGAGACGGTAAACTTTTCTCAACTGATGTATTTATTCTTGACGAATATTTAAAAAGTTGAATTTAATAAGAAACTAAAAAAGACTTAGAAGCATTTATAAATTTTTCAAAAAACACAATGACTGACTCGTTCACTCCGCGAAGAGCACAAAATAATTATGATCGTTATCCATCACCATCAATTGTTGACAATGATCGATATACACCACCATCATTTGAAAATTCCAATAGAAAAAAACCAGAAATATATCATATTGGAGGAAAAAATTATCAGAAACCAATTGATGATGAACCACCATTTAGATCATCTTCACCACCCATTAAAAGTTCTTATCCTTCAACTAGTAATGGTCCTGAATTGTATCATCTGAAAGCTGTAGAAAATCATGATAAAATTCATGATCGTCATTCACCATCAGTATTTTCTAATAATACTCGAGTTTCACCAATACCTTTATCAAATTTTTCTGAACGAAAAATAGAAATGTATCATTTAAAAACTACTAACGAAAATGTTAGACGTTCACCATCTATTACTAAAAGTTATGAAAAAACTACATTTAATGATAATAACATGAATTATAACAATTATGGTCAACAAAAAGTTACTATGTATCTTCTTACATCAACAGATCGCGAAAATCTACCATTATCACATGCAGAACAACGTAGTCCATCTCCTCCTGTAAGTTAAGAATACAATTTTTTTTTCGATGTTTCATATTCTGCTCTATATAAACTCTAAAGTGTTCTCGATCTATTTGACTTATTTCAAGAATTGATGTATTACTATAAAAATCGAAAATACAGAAAACATCAAAATTTACAAATTCATAGGCAAAGAAATACGGATTGTTTCAGGTCGGAAGACTCGAAAAAACTTCAAAGCAAGAATCCGGTAATTGGATCTGATTGTCGGATTTCTGCTTTCAAGTTTCTATCAATTCGTCGGTCTAAAACAGTGTCCTTCCGATCGTGACCTGTCGAAAATTGATGGATCCAGGCGCTAGAATCATTGGTCTGGATTATTTTGCTGTTTTCTGAAAAATGAATACACGAACAAAAACAATTGAGAATTACATCCATTTCTCAACTACAGTATATCCAATCAAGCTGAAGCTTTCTTTCATTTATAGGAGAACGTGTTTACGATATCTACTTTTTTTTTCTTTCAAAATATAATGTATGGTTAGCTTCTTTTACTTTTTATTCGAATTGAAGAAGCGAAAAAAATAGACATCCGAAATATTGTCTAGTATCGACAGAAAAATATTTCAACTCTATCGAGCGATCGAGATTTATTTATTCTGATGAGTTGTTTTTCAAAAGTATCCGAAAGAGGAAGAGTCTCTTCAATCTAATACTGTGAATTTTTATTTCTTTAGATTCCTGTCAGCAACAGATCAGAACCTGCTTATAATGATAGAGTCGATGGGCTAAATATACGACATCAATATCCACCAGCAGCACTTCATACTGTATCGACAAATGCTCGTTCTATACCATTATCACAGTCCAAAGCATCAGAAAGTATTCAACGAAGTATGATGAAATATCGATTCAATGGCTATTGAGATTATTTTTTATTCATATTCATATAATATAAATACAAATACAAATACAAGCGAGATCGAGAGAATAAACAAAATAAAACCCGGTGATAATGAAAATAAACTATTGTTTTTTTTTTTAAATTGATGCTTGAATTTTTCAACATATTGATCAATATGATGTTTGAATTAATTCTTTTTCTCAATAAGATGATCTTTTTCATTCGAAGTATCATAACGTCGACTTAATTCAAATAGATTTAATATAGAAACCTATGAGATAAAATATTTTGTGCAAAACAAAAAAAAAAGAATTATCTAAAAGAAACAACAAAACATACAGATTGTGCTGGAAGTGATGGAAGTTTTAAAATTGATGGTGGTTGAGTTAAACGAGGATCAGTTGTACCTAATTTTATATAATAAAATAAAAAAATAAAGGAAGATATAATTCATATTTATATTTACCAATAGAATGAAAATATTGATAAGCTCTTGGATTAAAAACATTACCGGAACGAAAAGGCATAAAAACAGCAGGTAAACATAAATCTATAAAAATTCGATTAATTATTTACAAACAAATAAAATAAAATAGAATTATTCAATTTCTTTTTTGTCTTACCATCATTATATTCATTATTTTCTCTTGATCTATGTAAACGATGTTGAAATTCCATTTGACGTTCATTTTCTAATGCAGTCTCTTGTTCAACTTTCGCAATTAATTGTTGACGATGTATTATACTTTGTTGTAAATACATTTGATAACGATCAAGAAACTTTAAGAAAAAAAAACTAAATGAACTTTGAGTTCTATTATTTATTAGCACAATTCAAAGTCATAACGTATTACGTATTTATACAGGACATGTTTTCCTATGAGAAAAGGCGTGACAGAAACAAAGAAAATGTCTTTACTTATTTCAAGAGCTGAAGCCTTTTTTTTTCTATTGTTATAGGTTTTCATTTTGATTGAAATATAAAATAGTTGATTGATTAAATAACTAATAGTATAAAAATCATTCTATAATTGACATTTTTCTTGTTTAAAAATAATTTATTAGAATTCATTATTAATTAAAAAGAAAATAAAGTTTATATATTTATTTTCTATATTCTAAATTCGTCTGAAGTTCATTTATATTCTAAAAACTCTGATTTACAATCTATAGAAATTCTAGTCGCTTGACTTACGATTATATATCAAAGTATACTTATTCTAAACAAACTTATCTGTTGTTATAAACCTCAAAACTGATTTTCTGATATATTTTTCATAAATAAATATTGTACAAAATAACTGACGAATCGTTTTTTTTTTTGTTTTTTTTTGTAAAGAAAATATTTTTGTTAGATCAATTTCGAAAGTGCCCAGCGAAATTAAAAGAACTATAAATGATCACAATTTACATTTTTCGGAAGATCTTTTCCATAAACTGGTGATGATTGATATTCCATAACAACTTCACTTTTTATATTTTGTTGCATTCGTTGTCTATAAAATGGAATCATTATTTCTTTTTTAATATTAATCTTCTATACCGCATATTTATATTTAATAGATCTTCTTGAACCATGTCAGATCGATTTTCATCGGATTGTGATCTTTCAATCATTTGATTTGATTGCGGAGATAATATTTCATTAAGAAGATTTGTTAATCGATTAATTTCCGCTCTAAATATAAATGTATTAAACTACAGTGAAAAATTTTATTATGCACATACTGATAGTCTTCATGAAGCTTAGCTATTTCATTTTCATAAGCTATTTTTAGAGTTTCAATATGATCATTTATTAATTCTGAATCATTTAATTTATTGCTTTCATCAGTTATTGGTGAAATAACTGGTTCATTGATTTCACTTTCTTGAATAGGAATCATTTTTGGTATTGGCACATCACTTTCCATTGGAATCGTCACTAGATAAATACAATGATTTACAGGTGGTTATAAGTTTTTTTATGGCTTTTAACTACAGAACGAGATATATGTAGACTTGTCGTGTTCTGCACGGATACTCTTTTTTTTTGTTTGTATCCGGACTCCTATACTTTATATGGAAAAAGTATACTATTTAGTTTTTTCATCAACGATCTGTTCTCAAGTATAAAATAGATTGCTCAATCATGATCGAGTCCGTTCTCATTCCTATACTTTTATTTATATATATATATAGCAGCTTGAAAAATTAACAATATTTTGAAATGTCGAGACCTCATATATTACCGAACCGAGTACGATCTCAAAAGTCGAACCTACACTCCAAGTATCTGACCCGGTTACAGCACCCTATCGTGGAGAAGGACGTCTTCTATCTCATAGTGTAATGTATTCTACTGAGTACTCTACTATCCTACGTATATTCAGTTCTGTGGTTAAATCTTTGTAGTCAGCTTTCTATTAATTCGATAATATTACTTGTGCATTTTGTTGCATGAGTTTGTTCTATTTTATTATACCAAAACATAATTAATGGTAATTTGCCAATCGATTCATGTTTAGTATTATAAATTGAAAATAATTGTGGTGTACGAGAAATCCATAATTGATAAAGTTTATTTGATGTTTCATTAAAATCAAATTGATAACTTTGTAGCGAACTTGTAGACACGTTATCATCAACAGCTATTAAAGGTGATAAAATTGAATTATTCAAAGTTGGTAAATCCTAAAATAGTGTTTGTTCTTTCTTTTTGTGTAATTATTTCATGAATTATTAATACTTACAAGCATATGTAAATCTTCAGACGAAAAAATTAACGATCCGCAGAATTTTTCATCACCAAAAATATCTATTTTTATAGCATCTGGATCAATATCAGTATGAAATAGTGAACGACGTTTAAGAACATCTGGCATTAAAATAAGAATTTCATCATTTTGTTCTTTATCGATTGTATTAATATCATTATCATCTAGAATTATTGAAGCTTCATTACGTTTTTTAGTTTCTAAATAAAACAAAAGAATATTTATTGATTATTAACAATAATAAAATCTACTTGAATCAATTGATTTTGTTGTTCGACTAAAAGTTAATCGTCCTTTTGTTTTTATATTTTCATCTATTGACACATTAGGTTTCTAAAAAAAAAACCAAGAAAACAAAAACGATCAATTCACAATTTAGAATAAAAAGCGAGAATAAATACATTAAACTTAAAAACATTGGTTTTATATATTTGTCCTTGACCATAAACAATACATTGAAAATTTGTTTTTAAAATTCCTACAGGTCGATAGATACGCATAATAAGCGCTCTAAAACAAACCAAAATTATAACATAGACAAAAAAAAAAAGTTGTTAACGCAATCTCTGCATAATTAAAATGTGAAACACGACTTAGTTGTTCTTGTTAATCACATGACGATTGTTTTACCTAATCCCTTAGAAATGCAATAAGGAAGTAGTTCATAACACATGCCTCATAAATAATGACATAGTTTGATTTTCTGTTTTGTAAAGAACGAAAACACTATTCAAAAACACCCTTCCCAAGAACTTCGCAACGCTTCTAATGATATCGTTCAGATGCAAATAGCTTGTAAATAACATCTGGTCATATTTCGAAACTCAACTTTTCAAAAGTTAACGTAATCTATAAACGGTTTATCATTATATCATCGTAAGTAGAATTTTATTTTGAATAAAACGATGTAACATTTAAACCGAACAAAGAAAATCTTCAGATTGTTCCCAATGGCATAGAGCTGCCAGAAAGAGTATTTTGTGTTGTTTACTAAACATTGCGGCATGCAGCATAATTCACATTTCAGTAGAACTATTATTATAAACATATTTTTAATACTTGTATAGTTCAATCTTTTCGATTTGGTTTTTGTGATAGAAAAAAACTTATTTGAAGAACAAAGTAGAAAAAAGACAATCAAAGTCTTTCATTCTTTATGGACTACTCGTTATATTATAACGAAAGAATATCTTTTGGGAGGTGAATGCAAATTTCTACAGTATATACTTCAAAATTCCTTGTAGACCATGTTTGATAAAATGAAAGGATTTTACTTAGTTGATAGAATATCTTCAGTTGATGTTTGATGATCATTTATATCAGGTTGTGCTTGAATCTCAATATCATTTGTAGTCACTTTAGATTTTTGTTCAATTAGGTTTAGTTCTTGCTTTTTGGTTTTATTGAGAAGATTGTCTTCATTATTCTTACGGGTAAATTCAGCATCTTCAAAACTCTAAGCATAAAATTTTACTATTATATCTAAATAGAAAAGCATAAAACAGACATGATCAGTTCGTAGTTTTTGTTTGTCCATTAGTTGCATATGTGAAATTTCATCTATTCTTTGAAATCGATCAATATCTTGCTCATCACTTAATTGACTATTAGATGAAATTTCAGATGGTGATGGTGATCCTCGTATTCTTGGATGAATCCATTTAATGACATGTTCATAACCAAGTACAGCTTTCTAATAATTAAAAATAACATTTAAAAAGAAAACCTAAAGTTTTATCGAATAATATTTACTTCTCGAAATGTTTTTAGACGAAATTTCCATTTTCGTACATTTGATCGTGGTAATGCAAGACGAATATACCTTTAAAAAAAAGATTTTATTCAATTATATAGAATTTGATTGATTTCATAGTTTTGTACATTTTTTCCCAATTGTTAATACATTTTTGTTCTTCATACTTTTTTGTATTATTTTCCATGGATGCTAATTTTTCTGAAGCCATCTTAAGCATACGTTTTTTTATTTCATTACTATCATATAATCGTTTAAATGGAATACATTTCATATCAAATGGTTGACTATACAATTGAACAAGACGAATAAGTTCATAAATAGGTACTTGTGTTTGAGAATAAGCTCGATAAAGTCGAGATAGAACAAATGTTATTTTTAATGATACATTTAATGGTATATATTGAAGAAGAAATTTATCTTTGAATTCAAGTAATTCAAACATTGAATTATCAATTTCAAAAAAACAATTTTGAACATTATCACATAATATACGAAATTTATTTGTATCAACTTTATTTTCAGCTGCTATTTGTGCAATTTCTTCTAAAGACTCATCATCACATTCGACTTCTTCAATTATATCAAGACTTGATTGAGTTCCAGTTTCAACTATTGTTGATAAATCATCATAATCTATATTATTATATTTATTTGATTCCTTAAAACAACATTAAATATAAAACTTCTTACTTGCTGACATGATGGCGTTTATTAACTGATTTCAGACGTCAAAATTTTGACAGAATTCTTTTTCTTTCTCTTCTATCGACACAGCATGCATGTCATTCATTTCAATGTAATCTATGATGACGAGCCTCTTTGTCCTTTAACGACGACAACTTATAAATATATATATTTTTTTCATTGAATCGATATTTTTGTTATTTCAACTACCACAATACATACACACGTATTTGACATAGAATTATACAATATACAAACAGTAGAGAGAGAGAATGGACAAGACAAGATCAAAAGAAAAAAGAAGAGAAAGATATTCAACGTATGAATGACGGCGATTAAATATTGAAATAGACGCCGAATACATGCACGTATAATATACATTTTCTAAGCAAAAAATAATCTACTGTTGCAAGCCCTTTCATAATTAACCACTTTACAACATGGATAGATAATCGACTGATTCTTCATCAAAGCCGATTGCTCGATTTCGAGCTAAAACGAAAAAGAAAATAATAATTATATTTTTTTTCTAATATAGAAAAGACAAACAGAATAATTCACCTTCAAAATAAAATGTATCAGAATCATTATCAGGTACTGGAATAAATGGTGCAGCTGTATTCGCTAGATTTTCCCAATCAATTTGATTAAAAAAAGGTTCTTTTTTAAGATCTAAATATAATCATTTATATATTGAATTCATAAAAAATTTATTGATTTATTTTACCATCTAATTCAAGTCGTAAACTAGGATCATAACTAAGTAAACCTTTAATAGCATTTATTGCATCTTCATCTAATTGATTTTCATCATCGTCTGGCCATGCAATTCGATAATTTAAAATATTTGATATAATTGCACGTGGACAATCATCAGAAAATGGTGTTACACCAACAAGAAATTGAAAAAGACATACTCCAAGTGCCCAAAAATCAACAGCCTGAGCTAAATAAAACATCAAATCATAAGCAGAAAAATTTAAAATAAATTAAAATTTACTATGATTTTCCTCTTGCATTAAGATTTCTGGACCTAAAAAAGAAGTTTATGGAAACAAATAAGACAAAATTCTTCAAAATGAAAAATATTTACAAAGATAATCTGGTGTACCCAAAACAGGTCCTGAAGCAGTTGGATGTATTGGTGATTTGAGAAAACTACTTCGAACTGATGTATTATTAGTTACATCAGTTAATATTCGACCAGTTGAGGCATTTTGAGCTAGACATACCGACTAAATAAATAAAAACAAAAGACATTTTTATTTATATATTGATTTCCAAAAGTATCAAAATCAATCGATCAATGAATGTAAATAACAAAAAGAATTTTCGTTTAACTAGAAAGCATTCTGATACTGAATGAACAATTTCAACAAATTGAAATCAATTTTTCAATAAGAAAATCGTTACTCTGTAGAAGAATAGACCTAATGAGTAGACATGAGCTGAACCAATCGTTTTTAGTTCCGGTTAGAAAAAAATTTTCGTCCGACTTCAACTCCGATCCTCGGAACCTGAACCATCTTGCCTATATCCATTAATGAGTAAGTCATCGAGACACATAAATAGTTTTTGTTTTCTATTGTACAAAAGTTTGTTCTTTCATTTTGTTCATTATATTAGTTATGTTAAAAAACTAATATTATAATTCTTCACCCTACAATAGAAGATATGGGTCTTCTATTGTGTCTCAATTATTTTCATAACCTTTAATTCAAAAAGACTAATGCATCGATCAAACAAACTGCTCTTTTTTTCTTAAAATTCGAACCTTCATTGAACAATCATCGGTTGGTAGTGAACGATGATTTGGTGGTTGTATTGTTTCTATTGGTTCTTCATCAATATGTGTTGATTGAATTTGATTAATTGATGATATATCAAGTGAATAACGAATTGGTGATAAACATGGTGAAGCTGATGTTGGAACAGCAAGAGTACTTGTTGTTGCTGTATTTAATGTTTGACCCATTCCACGAAATAAACGAAATTGATTTTGATGAGCTGGTGATGATGCAAGTAATCTTGATATTGTTTTTGGATAAATACGTGGTTGTTGTTTAATAGTTTGTAATGTTGTTGGTGATCGTCCTTTAGGACTACAAAATAAAAAATCCGATATATTACTTGTACTTGCATCATCATGTTCATCAATATCATCATGTCCAAATGATATTGGTTCATTTTCAGGTATACATAAAGGTAATGGTTGTCGATAAACACGTAAACTACAATCAATAATACGTGATGATGAAAATGAACGATGAAAACTATTATTTATTAGAATATTATCATTTGATGTAACACTAGCCGGATTACTATGTGTTGATGTTGAAATATGTAAATGATCAAAATCGGATTCACTTGATGACTTAAAAAAAGAAATCAAATATTTAATGTAACAAAAGAAAAATTATATATTTATATAATTCAACTTACAAAACTAAAATCTGATGTTAATGAAATAATTTGACCAGGTGTACGAAATGCACGTACTTTACATACAGATGGTGTACCAATAACATCGGCAACTGATACTTCTGGAAAAAAAAATTGAGTAGACTTTGTTTAATTAATAGTCGACATTGATTATTCTTAGATTTAAAATTCTGTTTTTATGATGGAAGAGAAAAATCAATAATTTATATACAGATTAATAATAATGAATGGATTGAAAATTCAGTTATATCATATTGGATATTTGCCTCTCAGCAGTATAATACTGAGGCAGATAGATTTAAAAATTTGGAAGATATTATTCAAGTACGAAATTTGAATTCTTTTCTTTACAAAGATACACACTGGTTTTGGAAAGTTCCTCGATGGATAAATTACTTTTGAGTCGGGACTATGTACATCAGGCGGACTTTCCAAGCGAAACTATGGCATTCATTTAAAAAATGTAGTATATCGGCTTGTCCACGTAACGCGACACTTCGCTGATCAAGTTTCCAAAAAAATTTTTTTTCGAGTTGGACAAATCTGAATGAGTTACTAGATGCAGCTTTTAACGCTGATTACGAATTTGACATTTATTTTGTAAAAAAGTTAGGTTTTAGAATCAAAAACCGGGTTTTAAACTTATGAAAAATCATATTTTGAATTTTTTAACCAAAACAATTTTTGATAAAATATTGAGAGACATACCATTCGATGCAGAATTTAACTCTCTACAAAATGGCCTATTTAGTTTTCCCTTTCGTAAGTAAAGACAAATTGCAGACTCTTACACAATTTCCAACTTACTGTCCGATTTATGAGGTCTCGGATCGATGTATCAATCTCATTCTTATGTAGATTACCTACACGGAAATGAGTAACATTTATAAAAATCAAACCATTCTAAACATGTTAAGTGCCTCAAAACTGGTCCACAAAAAACTGTGTAACAGCGTTACGTTTGTATTTTGCATTTTTCATCTGAGCGAAAATGCTTTAGGAAAAATCTTTTTTACTGCCTAAAAGCTTGTTCGATGCTGTACAAAACTGCCTCTGGAAAGTTTTCATTGGGCTAAANTTTTATTAAAAACTTGATTTACTCTTCATAACGTCCAATGAAGTTTTTTCTTCGCATCGAACGAGCCTAAACTTTTGTCGAGTCATCCAGCCAGAACTATATTTTCACTTTTTAAGAGAGATTTTCTACGTAAGAAAACATAAAAAACTAATTGTAATCGATTTTATTCTAATGTTTCGTCGAAATGTCTTACATGGGTTTTGCATCTTGAAGCTGGTAACTTAATAACATTCCTCATTTCTACACAAAAAGCAAAGCACACTATCAATTTCATTAAGTTGCATGGATGTTACTGAAGGAAAACAGAGTTAACTGTATATAGTAACCAATCTGACTCTTTGCAATCGATCAACAAACATTTTAATTGTGAAAGTTTATGTTAATAAATGATAGTCCTTCAAGAAATTAGAGTGCCCACGAGCAGCACATCTTTGTCTTTCGGTTCAATAAATAATTCAACGTATCTATCATGGTATTTTTTCAAGCATTAAAATTGTCCAATCTTATTCAACTTGTGATCATTATAATAATATTTCTTTTAGAATATTCTAATCATTTCGTAAAAGAAATATACTATTAATAATGCCATTCTAAGTTGTACTGTACCGTACCATCAGAAAGTAGCCAGATTCTGGGGCCTGATGTCTAATAGAAAAACTGTATTCTGCTTTATATAATGTGTTGTTGTAGAGGACTTACTAATCTCTAATCGGATATAAAATATGGGTTTCCACTCACTTCGATTTACTGGAAAAAATCTTACTTTCCAAAATCACTTATCGTTTGTAAACATTTCTTTTTGCTTGTAAAGACCGTTAGCAAAATGTCAATTTCAAACTTAAGTGATAACTTGAAAATATTATTTTTATCTGTTTACAGCGCTCTATTGTAATGCTATAAAAGGCAAAAAATAAAACCAACTTTCTTCTGAAGCTCCAAAAGCATGCAAAGAACTTTTTTAGCCAAGCGTATTCCTAAATGTTTCCAGCCATCGATAAGTATTTTGAACGACTCAAATCGCATTGTCTCTATAGCAAAAACAATGGTGTTCCATTCAAATGATAAACTTTTACATAATCATGTTGTTGTATGTATCTTTTTTACATTATCATGGCCAATATGCGATGAATATCTACCTTCTCTTAATAATCCATTGATTGAGAAAATCAATTCAATTCAATACCATATCAATGACATTCTGATTGCCAAAGGATACTTTTCACAAGTCTCTTTTATCAAAAAAACAAAGACTTAATTATTTAAGATCTGAAACTAAGTTTCTATTGCAGATTTCTATTGTAATACCAACAATGATTTTTTAAATAAATTTTGATAAATTCTAGCTGTAAAGAGCTGTGGTGTTCATCATTCGATTCAAAGTGATTCTAATCGATATTCATGCGAAATGTTACGGTAACAAGGAAAGCATTAACATCATAGAAGATAATATCAAATAGACATCGTCGAAACAAAAGAGATTTTTCTTTGCTTTTTTTACTTGAATTTATTTAAACGATTAAAGAAATTCTGATAATTTGTTTTTCTTTTTCTCTTTCGATGAAATATCTGGTTATTTAAAAGAGGATGAGTTTTATTAACAAAACTACAGGAGAAAAAAAAAACGCGATAATGTTAATTTAATGATGAGCTCTATCAGCAGCTTCTTTAGATTCTTTTAAATATTCTTTTCCAGCTGAAATTGGTTCAATATGTTCATAAACATCATATTTGTCACATAAATATTGTATAATATGTCTAGGTGTTGCAAAATGATCCGAATCTACATCGGGAATTTCTGTCCAAAATTCATCTTCTACTGCTGCTGTTATTTCAACAATATCTAATGAATCGAGACCAAGATCTTGAACAAATCGTGAATCTAATTTTAATGAATTTGGATCGATTTTATCAAATAAACGTAATAAAAGCATAATACGACTTTCAATCATTGGATATGTATGATGAACATGAGACCAACGACGTGGAATTTCATTAATTAATAATTTGTGCTTTTCATTTAGATTCACAAGAGTTGGTTTTATTGATAACGGACGAACTGTTATCATTGGTCGCATTAATGATGCACTACGCATTAAAAGACGTATTGTTGATGAAAGCATTTTTTTTTTATATCTAAAAGAAATTTATAAATATGTTAGCTGATTAAATATTTATTAGAAATGAAAGACGAATTAATTATTGCATTGAATCACTAAGAGCTTTTGCACGTCCGAGAATAAAATGATAAAAAATAAGTGTAACAAGTTTTCCTGTACGATAATCTTCAATTAATGGATTATATTCACTAAGATCCATTAATTTAACTTGTAAAGATTGCCCGGCATAAAAAGCCATATCACAAGCTTGTTGAGCAGTAAGACCAACTGTTGCTGGTGCACTAACACCAGGACATGAAGATGAAATAATTGAATCTATATCAAATGATACAAATATATCACTTTTTTGTTCTTCTGCTGATTTAATAATAGAACGAAAAGGTGTTAATGGATCATCACGAATTGATTGATACCAAAATATTTGAGTTAATGGAGATTTTGAACGAATATAATTCACATGTTCTATTGAACATTGAGATCCTTGACTTGCAAATTCAATAAATCGATCTAGGAAAAAAAAGGTTTTATTTTTTTTATTAAATAAAAAAAAAAGTAGTAATCATACTTGAAGGATTTTGATGAAATCTTTGATCTTCAAGTAATAATCTAAAAGGTGATCCAGAATGAGATTTATTTTCTTTTAATGGTCGAACATCAAGATGTGCATCAATATTAATAACATAAATTGATTTCGAATTATTTAATAAAGCTGAAGCATTAGGATAAGATTGATCATTTCCACCTCCAACAACAAATGGAATTTTTCCTTTTAAAATTAATTGTTGAATACGTTCTTCTAATTGTTGATGAGCTTCTTCTAAAGTTAAATCAGAATTAATATTTCCTCCGTCTGAAATTTTTAAATATTTTCGTATATCTAAATCATCATATTCAGCATTAACAACAGTTCCTGTTCGTTTTAATAATTGGCGAAATGAATTTGGACCGTGTTGTGCTCCAACTCGTCCATTATTTCTTCGTACACCTTCATCATATGGAAATCCAATAAGAACTATATCACCACTATCACCATCAACAATTATATCACCCAAACGAACATCATCAGAGATCATTTTTCCTCAAGTAAACATTTGTTTTTTATGTTTTTATCTATTTTTTTTGTTACTTGGTTAAATATGGATCGGTTATAGATGTCACTCTTTCTCATTCAGTAATTTTGTTTTTCAAATAAAAAAAGAGTCACACTGCAAAGGAAATCAGGTGAAAAAAAAGAACGAGAGCGTATATAAAAAGAAAAATTGGCTCGCTCTAAATATTTAACTGATACATATCTAAAACCAAATATACACATAGATTTAGCATTTTACGATAATTTAAATGATATAAACAAACTTTTGTCTTATCAAACCTCCTACACTTAAATGATCTCTGTTTAGACGATATTATTTTATATAAGATTCATTAGACTCTTGCTTCATTCTGAGATTTTTTAGTGACATATATGACTCCTTCGTAGAAACCTATGATGTCCTCGCTAACAGAGATGGACGGGGCGGCAAACGCGTCGCACCGCCACTGTCCGTCCTGTCCCGCCCCGCCCCATCTCATTCAAAATCTGTTTTTAGGGACTATTTATCTACAAATTTTTTAGTAAATTTTCGTAATTACTATTGTACTTTTATCCGGTGAAACAACACAGTTGAAATACATAAAGATAATTTCGAAGTAGAAAACAAATACTTAATAATAGAAAACAATAACCAGTCACTTATTCTTTTTACTGAAGTAAAAAACTAGCATTGTGAATTTGGTCAGGATTTAATTTAGAACATCTCAAACTATAATCATTATTCCACTTGCGTTAGATTGACTTGCTACATTAGCTGCAATGAAATACACTAAACCTGCAAGTCGAGTTAAAATAGGATAAATAAATCAATATTCATACCAAAATGCTAAAGCGTGATGATCA